TGTATCCTGCTTGACAGCATGACTTATACCGTTGCTTTTGCTTTTGCTTTTGGTATAGTTGTTGGATTTTCTATGCAATCGACCATCTTAGTACATATTATTTTTCGGCTTTCGTGCCATCAGCATTGCAAAGAGTGAAAACGACACACAGCGAACAAATTCATTCGCAACTGTATCTATTCAAATAACACAATTCACGAGGATATGGTCATGGATGCGTTTATGTATAAGAACTCAATTGGACGACGTAAATGCCAGCACTCTAACTTTGATATCAGAAAAATTATTCAAATGAATGAATGAATGAGCTCAACGCGAAACAGTCCTTGTTGAGACATCGAAGCGAGAGCACTACCTTTGAGCTCCTCGCACCAAATCACATACTCACATGGAATTGACAAAAGAGTTTTTGTCTTGTACATTTTATTTATAAGTTGGAAATTTGCAAAATTGTTTCCATTTCAAACATTTTATTTCACGAATTCGTAATTTTTTTTTCGAACCAATTTTTTCGAATAAAATTTCCAAAAAATTTGAAATTATTCAGTTTTTTCTCTGGTTTTTAACATTTTGTTCGACGTTCAAAGTTTTTTTTTCTTCTAAATTTCAAAAGTGAATTGGCTGAAAATGAAAAAGCTGCGTTGTTGTTTGAAACAGCATAAAAGTCAACCGCAAATAAAACAATCGTCCATTTGAATTTGAAGTCTATAATTATCGCTGACAAAGGTAACTTCTTTGTTGAGTGCATATGGATCCATAGTCTAGGCTTAGAAGCGAAATGGAAAAAAAATTAAGTGCGCTAGTCACGAAAAAAAAAACTAAACAGAATGAAAATGAATAGTATCAAATGGAGCAACGGTTTTTGAAATTCTAGACTTGTTATACATTTTTTTTTAAATTTGATGCCGTGTCGCGGCAACCATACAAATGATGCACTAAAAACAGCACAATTTTTCAAGTTATGAAAATTTGTGAGTAAGAGAGTGCTGTTTAACCGTCGGAAAAGAGTAGTAAGGTGGACACACATCAAAATGAAGAACAGAGTAAATGAAACGAAAAAAAAATAAACACATACGCTCGCCCAGAGTCTTATAGGGGAAGGATCTTTCTAAGGTTTCATATTGATTCGGAGTCGCGTGACATATTATCAGCTCAAAACGTCGCATACACAAAAACTAAGAATATCGGATATTCAATTATTTCACCGTCTACCTACAGTTCCGTTTCAAATGGCCTTTTTTTCTCTCTCAACACGCTGTGAATACTCAAATGTAGCATAATGTTTTCAAACTAAATTTCACATGAAGCAATACTTAAATTATTATTAATCAAATGCAAGCAACAAAAATTGGAAATATGTGTGTGCGTTAAAAAACGACTTCAATGACTGTCTATGGTGGAACCTTACCACTGATCAATATTTCATAAGACAAAAAATCAAAATATTTCTAATGAAAACGTCCTATCGATCAATTATTGAATATTTTAATCATATTTCGATTTTTAAATTGGAGACATATTTTACCGACTTACTATAATTTGTCATAAATAAGATAGACGTCTGTTCGATGTTCGAAATGGGCAAAATAAAGCCTTTCAAATATTTTCTGGTGTGTATGTGCTGCTTTTGTCATTTGTGCATAGTATATGTGTGACGTTGGGTAGAAATTTTTTTGTATTCAATTGGAAATTGAAATGAAAAGCAAAGGCGGTTAATATTACATTTCATTCGAAACAACGATGTATTTCATTTGTACATATATTTATTAGCAATCGATGAATTCTTTGTATGGTTGAGCCCATACAACAGTCGTACGGCATAAAATACCTCATTTTAAATAGAGCAAGAAAAAAACAAAACAAAACAAAACAAAACATAAAACTAAGAAGTAGCCACTGCGACATGATATGATGAACGGTATCGAGGAATAGAAACGGAAAGAGACGGAATGAAAAATAGAAAGAAAAAAAATAAACGGATCGCCAGTCATCGACGTGTCATTATTATCAGTATCGATAGACATATACACACATATACGGACCATCTATATATGCAAACGCGAATGGAGAATGGTTTAAGCATTGTCTGACAATGGATGGCCACACGACGACAATAGCATGTGTTTGCGGGGGATATTAAATAAGATGGTGTGTGTGTGTATGTTGTCTGTCAGTGAAAAGTGCGCTACCAATCGCACCCCGCGCGCCATTCACGGCATAAGATCGCTTATAAAAGGAAGTGCTCGGCCAATTGATTGGTCAGTCATTTAAAAAGTACTTACCAGAGCGTATGTGCACCATCGAAAGTGAACAGTGTGTAAACAAATATTTAAATCCACTTACTTCATTTGCATTGCATTCAATAAACTTACAGTTGCTGTTGTTTTTTTTCATCTCTCTTTGATTGGGTTTAAATCAGTGTGTCTTTTTGTTCAAGTGGTAAATTAACATACTGGAAAAAATAGCTCGTTTCTCGTTAACTATGGAAATGATTTGGTTTCTTTTTTTTCTCGCTCATTTTTTATTACATTAAAATTGCATAACTCATTTAATTTTCATTCTTTTTGTAAATTGTGTACTCAAAAGCCATTTTCGAAACGGATTATAAATTCACGAGCAATTCACTTGTTGTCGCCACACCAACAACGTGTAAATATTTTACAAAAAAAAAATGGATTGGCCGTTATTTTTTTTGCTGGATTTTATTCTTCATGCTAGTACATTGAATGTTTCAACGGTTCGTTGTTACGATTCATCGCAACTGGATTCATTTTTAGGCGTTGATGTTGCTGCTGGATCATCGAATCCATCAAAGTTATCTTTTTTACTGTTACTTTGTTGATTTGGTTCACATCGAAACTTTTCAATATCGCAGATTGCAAGTAAAATGGTCAATTTTCTCGATTCCAAATCGGTGGTCGGCCATTTAGCGTAAATCATTCCATTGTACATGTTGACCATGCAGCAAAAGTCCCAGATTTTTTTGCAACATTTGTCTGCCTTGTCCGGTGCCGCATTTTCATTGATATTCATGTATGTATCGTTGCAAGAGTCGATGCATTTCATGTGCGATTCCCAAAATGCCGTTTGATACGAAAGCATTTTTTCGTCGGTGTCGATTTTTTCACCATCTTTCTTGATATCGATCCCATGTTGAAAGACATTTTCCAGCGATTTCACGGAATTCACCAAGTTGTTAACGTTTTCCAAATCAGAATGACGCGTTTTGTCCAGTATCGAAGATGCCATTTTACCTATATTTGAATTGGAGCACTTTCAACGATATAATTTCTTAAATTTTTACTAGTCAATCAATGCAAATTCAGAGCCTACTTTTTCTTGCTCTAATTTAATTTCCTTTTAATCCCGTCGACAGTTTGGCTAACTTCGAATTCGACGTAAATCAAATGAATTGTTTAAAGTTTCCTTTGAACCATTTGGCGCGCATTCGATTCTCGCTTGGTCGACCTATAAATATAAAATCAAGCAATGCTTTGAACACCCTTTCGTTTAATTTTCTTTTGATTCCCTCCCTCCCTCTCTCTCTCTTTCTACAACAATTTAAATAATAATTACAAGTAGTTTGGCTTTCCGATGGCAACTAATAATCGGCGCATAACAATACACACCAGCAACAAATGATCCAGTTCAGTATGTGTATTGTATCGACAAAATGTTATGAATATTTGACGAAAAATGCTCTTATGAACGATTTTGTATTATGGGTACGATAACAAATGTTTCCACTTCGAAAAAAATGGGAACAATACATTATTATACACCGTATTAATGTGGCATGCGTGTGTTTGTTATTCTTTTTTCTGCTTTTGAATGGGGGTTTTCAATGAACGTCGCATTTTAATTGTATCATTTTTAAGATTCTACATTCTCTGAATCACAACAATTAGATTGGCCGTCGTGGTTGATTTGAAAAGTTTTTGTACATCGATAGAAATGATAGTTAACTAAATGTTAGTTTTTGATAATTTAGAAGGGTCGAAACACTTTCCATTTCGAACACGTGGATTTCATTTGCCGAAAAAAACATTTTCACCTCGAAAATCAACATCGACTAACGTGGATTGGAGAGGGTGAGTCTTTTTTGTCTCGCGGAACAAAACCAATAATGTGCGTGTTACTATGTCTTTAAACCACACATCAACAGTCAGAAGCAAGCAACAAAAGCGCAAACCGCTAGAACTATACACTTAACTTTTTGAATGAGTGAAAGTGGGCGGTGACATAAACAATTGTCGAAAACTCTTAAATAATTTAAATTTGAAAAAAATAAAAGTTTGTCACAAAAACTTCGATATTAACCACAGAAGGAGACCACATGGCTTTATATTTAATGCATATTATAGTTATATGTTGCTGCTATATCATTAGAAATATTATATGGTCTTACACGAAGTACCTTTCAAATCCACACAATTCCCATGTGAACAGCCGTGTTTTTTATTCATATCATTTTGCTGTTATTTTTCCATTCATAAGCTCGTGTTGAGGATTCTAGATCTTGTTTTCCACAAAATCACAGATTATCAACAACACTCATAGATAAAGTAACGAGAAATGTTATTTTTTTTTACATTGAATTGCCTTAAAGCTGCAAAAATGCCGAATTATGGGAAAACAAGTGTTTTCGAAAGGGATTGAAAATCATCCATTCAATTATAATTGAATATCAATATGAAACATTTACGCAAACACTAAATTTTTTCTTCTTTAGAAATCTGTTCGTGCGTCAATTTTATTTTTGGATGGTCTTAAGAGTTTTCAGGTAAACACGCAGTGACAGAAAATAGCATAATCCGCATCATCCGTTTCATTTCATACTCCTTGAAAGAATGGTACCTATTACAGCTGCTGGCCACTGCACATGATTAGATTCAACTCTTGTGCGTGTGACAGCGGCTATTGTGGGTTATCCAATGCATCGTGGGACAACGCATCAACCAAAAGTCAAATTCATTAGAAAAAGAAAACAACCAAATCAATTTCTATGTACAATTTCCGTTGTCGTTTTATTTTCTGTTTCTTTATTTAAATACTCTTAATTTTAGACACTAATCAATCAAATACTATTATTAAATACACTTGAGACAATAAAATAATCTCTTTGCGAGACTAAACCTAAATACTCTTTTTCTTTTTTTGTTGTTGTCATTTTTACGTACGATAAGTGAATATGGCAGCTAAAAAAAACTGAGGTAATGTATCCAGCTTATCGTGCTAAAATCTTTTGTCATAAGACTTCATATTGTTTCATATCAAAATTATTCAGTGGGCTTTGATTGGAGTCTATGGTGGCGGTTGTGGCTGTGCGTTGCGTTGTCGTGGATACTTTATCTTTTTTTGTATCCGAATGCGGGGTTTTTCCATTGTCATTATCGTTGAAATCTTCAATATTCAAATACCGATAGACGCCTAAACTGAAATTATCAATAAATTTCGGCGCTGCCTCGGCAAAATGATGAACAATATCCACAATTAAATCTTCTTTGGGCAGTTGTGACTGCAAGTCAGTGTAAAAATCACAAAATAAAATTGGCTCCTTGGAGTCGGGCATTTCTTTGGTTTTACAGTACTGGCCGCGATGCAGCAAATGATGTGAATATACGTCAAACGATGGATCGGCCAAACGTTTTGCGATTGGAACTAGAATTTGAATGGAACAAACGAAACGACAAGAAGAAACAATGTATTACAAGATGTATCGAAAAGCTTGATATCTTGTGCAAAAATAGCAAATAAATTTGTTTACCTTGTTCGCTCAGCACCCGATTCAAATAATCCTCGAGTTTCGTTTGATTCCGCTTATAATTATCGAGCAGTGCAAAAATATCGTCCACTTGATGTTGAAATTCCTTCAGCTTTTGCTTAATCGTTTTGAAGCATGACATTGATTTTTGTATAAATTCTAATCGATTGGTGAATTGTGCGTCTAGAGCAACGGCACTCTTGAATATTTTCGAAGCTCCAGAAAAGTCGGACGTTAAAAATAATGCGTTTCCAAGGCCGATTTGATTCTCGAATACATCAGGCCCATGGTTGTAGGCGCCTTGCATTACAACCAACGCGTCTTGACTTTTGTTTGACCGTTGCAAAATGGTGGCAAGGCTTAGTAATGGAATATCCAAGTATTTGCGTGGCGCCAAGTAAATGGCACGTCGTGCACATTCGGCGGCACGTTTTGCATTGCCTTTTGCCCGCCAGAAATATGATGCTAATACCGGGTACTTCCATGACAGTGGCTCCTGTTGCAATCCAAACTTAATCATCTTTACAAAACTGTCTTTCAGCACGCCCAATTCGTCCAAATGCAATGGCACTTCGGCACTCATTTGCAGTCTCCGTCGATTTAGCATACTGTGCAGGTGTTCGAAACACGACAAACTAAATTGCACATCATCACACACTGGATACACATCATTGGAGCGTTTTACGTCATTGCTTTTGGTTATCATTCGTTTTGTATTGATACGATTGAAGTACTTTCGGTCTTTGAGCGTGCTGTACATATCCTCATCTTTGAGCGAATAGTAAATCAAACATTCGGTGTGTGACATTATTTCGACTTGAAAGAATGTTGACTGTTGCACTTTGTCGGTAATTTCCATTTGTAGCGACAGCAATTGTGCATTTATCGAAATGATTGTTTGGCGGTAGTCGAATTGATTGAGAAATGCTACCAAATCATCTGGTCGACGTAAGTAGAAAATCGAATCAACCTGAAATATATAAACAAAGTTGATATCATTTAGCGGTCAAATGTCATCACGTAATCAACTTTAATTTGTTTTTTGTTTTTCCGTTGTGTGTATGTATCAAACCTGTGGCTGAATCGTTCCATCTGGTGTAATGCCCCAATGATTGATTGCATCGTAGCGATTCAACAGCACGAATGCCACTATCAGTATTACTGCCACGGAAGACATCATTTTCGCACACACTTGATATCGATCTAAATCTCACTATTCATCCTTTTCGTTCAAAGGAATCTCGACAAAATTCCAAAATAAAAAATATTTTCAACAATTTGACTATATTGCCTTGCACCTCGGTAAACAATGCATTCCATCTGTCAAAGCAACCAATCCACTACCGCAACTCTTATCACAAGACACAATTCGAAGTCACATGAAGTAGTAGATTGTGATTCATGACATTCACACTTTGAAACGACGGTTGCATAGCTTATGGCGACCGTTGATCTGTACGTCAACTTTCAACTTTATTTTTTCCTTTTTTTTCTTCTTAAATTCCTCTTCGTGACTAACTTCTACTGATTTTTCAATGTTTTTTATTTTTATTTTTCTCAGGTTTGTATTAATTTTTTGTAACATTAAACAGAAAAAAATGTCTATGTCTAAGAAATTTACTCCCAAATCTGAAAAAAAAACACACTTGATTTCGATTAGTTTCGGAATTCTTATTCTTTATTACAATATGTGAAGCTACTTCGATACAATTTACAAAAAAACACACATTGACAATTTAAAAAGCAAATGCATACACAAAAATTCAACTAGCTTCTCTCATTCATTTTCGAACAAAACTCGCAAAAGTAAAAAAAAAATACGACTATCCGATTGTTGGATTATTTACATGCTGATTGAGTCAACAAAAAATAAAATGCTTTACTTTGTTCTCCAAAATAATATTCATGCCATCAAAACTGTGTGCGGCTTCGAAGTATGACTACCAGTGAAATTACTAATAATTTCAAGAAATTCGGTGCAAAACTATCGGCGGCTGTGTTGCATAAGTCGCCTTGGCAGAAACACATGTAGACTTTTTTGTAATTGTACACGGTGTGTGCACATCGATCCTCTGAATCGGATGGCCCTCGTTGCACACACATTCGTTGTGTTGCCATATCGTAATCTAAAAATTTTGAGTGAAATTTTAGTAAATTTGCACAAAAACCTAACTGAACCACCATTCAAAGTGTCCACTTACCATCATCTCTCAGTGTGCCTTGGCTTTCGATGACTTTGCCGCACCATCCAGATGCACACGGTATGGCGGTGATTCCGTGCTCATTTTCAATTTGAGTGACATTAAATTTGAATGGATCTTTACAGCTGCCGAGCTCACCACGCGAACGACATTGGTAACATCTTCTCAAGGCACCTAAAACAAACACAAAAAAATTCAAGTGAACCAGTTATGACATTTGATGCATATACCAACAACAACAACAATAAAACGAGTCAGTGCGATGACTAATAATAGTGGCCGAACGAGTCAAAGAAATCGCTCTTTATGTCTCTAAATTTGGCATTAAAAAACACTTTAATTGTTCATAAATAATTTAGAGCCACTTTTAAATCGTATCGCATTCAATCTGAACGATGCACAAAAGATTTCAATGCTTAAAATTCGTGTTTCCATTTCACAATGTGCATCATTTTTTCGATCGTTTCACTCACCTTCAGTAATATCTAAACTAATAACAAATATCACAGCACTTAAATAAATAAATTTTGTTATCATTTTTGAACCAATTCCAATGCTTCATTTATTATTACGAGAATGTGTCCGAAAAAAATTGCAACAAAAACCGAAGAACACACAAACACTTGTTTCTCTTTCACTCGCTCGCTATTGAAATACGAATTACAATTTTATGTTGTGCAGCATAGAAATTCGTATTTACACTATAAGCGAAATGTACATTATTTCGACGTTTTCGAGTGGCTTTTCCATACCAAGATGAATAGATTTACGTGCATACGCACACCATCAAATTTGTGTAAGACAAACAACAACAGAAAAACAACAATCCACAGTTCTCCATTGAAAGCGAACCATTCCAACAACACACCAATACCATTTTGTACATTTATATTCAGTTTTTTTTTCGGTTTAAGTTGTGCGCTCATTCATTCACTTCAGATGTGTTGTGAGTGTGTGTTTGTGTCTTTCTCTTTCTTCTGATCGCTGCTTCTCAGTCGTTGCTTATGTTTTTTTCTTCTTCTTCTTCTTTTATTTTGTGTCGGTTTTGCTTTCGCTGTTCGCATATCCATGCAGATTCGATTGAGCCGAAAGCAAGATAGCTTGAATAAGTGGTTTCTCGTCGATTCGCCGTCGTCGTCGTCGTCCACGCTGTGGTAAAACGTAGTGTACACTCTATTTCATGTTATAAGTTATAACTTATAACAGACAGCGAAAATAAGAAATGTAGCAAGAGAAGTAACAAAAAATCGACAGCCACACAATCGGTTGACGGTGTGGGAATGGATTCGCATACATCTATCGGTCAAATATTCAAAGTTACCAAGAATCGTGTTGGATTTGTTGAAATGTCAAATGGACCATGTTTGTATGACCGGAAATTTGACTTTTTATCTCTTAACAGGGTTGATGCATGCATGTGTTTTTCTTATTCAGATTTTCTTCACCTTCTATCGTTGAGATTTTCTCGGTCTGAATTCAATTCATATTTTCTTCATGCGACTTGACTGGAAACAAAAAGGCGTATTTGGGCCATTTTCAATTGAAGTATGCAAATATGATATATTGCAATATTTTGGATACTCCATTTGAAAACAATTTGGTTTTGAACGAGAAAAATTCCCTTGAACATCGAAACAAAAGACACTAAGAACATAAAAGAGATACGTTTTCTTGTTAACATATACACAATTTTTTTTATATATATTTTTTTCTTCTGTTGGGCACTGAACACAAATTTGGAAAGCTAATAGCTTGTTTTGTTTTCCTATACATATGATTGAGTAAAGAGAATATTGGAATATTGTAAATGGCTTATGAATACAGAGTAAATTCAATATGAATGTCTTAAAACTAGATAATAAATCGTTTGAGCTATATGACTGTGTCGTACAAATGTCGTTTGTAAAAAGTACATCAAATGTATGGCTAAAATGCCATATGTCTGGTAAGTTTTGTTCTGTTTTGCGCAAAATTATTTCATTATGTGTTCTAATTGCGAAGGAACATCAATTTTGTGTGTAATTCGTTGATCATAATTTTCAAAATGATATTCCTTTGTTTGTCTTGCTCATCGAAAATGTCAAATTTTCGTTTATCGGCAACGGCCTCGTACAATTCGTTCAACAAATATAGCTTACGAGCCAACAATGTGTCCTGAACATGGCATGCCTCGGTGATGTAGCTCTCTGTGATATGAAAAAAAAACACGACAAAAATGACCAAAATAATCGGTTAGAACCCATGCTACATGTATTTTATACATATGGTTCAGTGCACTTACCCAGTGTAATTTTGCGTTTCGTTCGAGTGTCAAACCGATTATTATTGGAATCATCATTGGTCTGTGGTAGAGGCGGAGGTGGTGGCCGAAGCTTCCTAATTGGCTGTCCCACTTTCACGATCTTTTTAACTGGCCGCTGTACAGAAAGCGATTTTCGTATCGAAACTGGCCGATGTACCTTGCCATTTTGTTGCTTCGCTGGAATCAGCGCAAATAAACTTAGAAATTCTCGTTGATCAAAACAGTCAACGCTTGTCTTTATACAATTGTTAATATTTGTGCGCAATTCGTTATCGGCTTGTTTGATTTGTTGAACTTGTAATTTTTGCCATCGACTATTTGACCGTAGACTACGCGACATCATTTGATAGAAGAAATAAAATGTGCGTTACATTGAACGAAAAGAAAAGAAGAAAAAAAACACAACGAGTATGCGATGCAGCGCAGTCGACAGCGAGAACAAGAATAAAATTGACACTTGTATTGATGTGGCATTGTACACAAAGCACGCATAGAGAACCCATAGGATAACGGTGCTATGGTATTTACATATTGTTCAGTCAGTGGTTGAATGTGAAGCATTGGACGAAACATTTGTGGAACATCAACAACGAAAATGTAAGTGAACGGAATAGCGCGCCGCCTGTGGAATTTTAGAACGTTCGCACAAAAATATTTACACATAATTTTTCGGTATATAAACAGTGCCGAATGTTTATCGATAACATCGAATCGATTCCAAAAACTGTAAGTAACGACGCAAGCGAAAAATGATGTAATGGAGAAATTGAAACATTGACGATGATAAAATTGTGTCCACTTAAAATGATCAAATTTCTGAATAATGAAGCAGAGTTCTCCCTTCTATTCATAACTGAAAGCCGAGCATGTTCTATTTTTGGTTTTCAATATCTAAATAAACATCCCAAACTGTAAATTTGTGCGGTTGCGATAGGCACCAACAAACCACATTACCGCTCGACTTCGTGTCGGTGCATGTCACCCATTGGCGAAACGACAAACACTCACAAATGTGACCGAACGAAAAACAAAAGCAGCGGCAGTTCAATTATAGCTTCTCATAGTGACGGTTTGTTGTCTGTGCGAGCATTCTTGTGCAGAACAATAGCAATAGTTTCATGGTATTGTGTAATTAGTTCAGTGGATTGTGTCAAAGATGAATTTCGAGTTCGAGATCCCGCGGAATAATAAAGAGCTCTTGACAGATGCCAATTGTAGCAATTATTTTGTGAAACAAATCTATGATGCGGCTGAAATACCAAAAGAACTTCAACGTATGTTCTGAATCACACAATTGTTGTTATTTTTACCGTTCAGTGCATTTCAAAGTTCAAGTTTATCATATTAAAAAGAAAATAAATTCATAATTATTCCGATTTCGGTTTTATTTTTCAGTTGCACGTCAAGCCTTCAAAGCCGGTGATGCATTCTACATATTTGATCATTTCGACACATTTTTCTCTGTTACCGAAAATGCAGACAAGCTATCGATTGACCATTTGAATCAAACAGTGGATCTGTTGTATCGAACAACGGAAAAACTTGGTGCAATGCTCGACAGTTATCTGAAGCAAGACCAATTGGATCGACAAATGGATTTTCTTAATCTCACAAAAATGGTGATGTACTTGCTGGTGAGCACTATTCGTGCAGTTGATCTGTTTGTGAAGAATAATTCGATTCAGGCGAAAAGTGGCCGTAAAAACAAAAAGAACACCAATGATTCGATGCCAGCATTTGTTCGATATGAGGAAAAACGCTATGATGTTCTGATTCAAATTTGCAACATAATGCAAATGTCAATTGATAAACTCTGGCCCATATCCATTGCTGAAGAGAATTTCGTGAAGTAAGTTTAGAGTATACGTCAGAAAATTTAGATCATTTCCATAAAAAAAAACTCCGGTTATTTTGATTTCTTTTTTGTCGAACACACACACTTCAGTTTGGTATGTGACTTGGCTTATCGTTCGCTGTCCCATCCATCGGCAAAAGAAAAACGGGTCAACGATGTGGTGTTCCAAATTCTTGGCAACGCTATCAAACAATATCGTCATGGCAACGCCTTCCCAATTCAAATCGTTGAGATTATGGAACGTGAAGAATCGACTGTTGTTCCCATCGCCCATGGTGTTCGGTATTTAAACGATGAGTTCGGAATTACCACCGTAATGATTAAGCTGTTACGCGAATTAATCGAGAAGGTGAATGTGAATCCAGCGGCACAGGCCACATCGAAACATTTGAGCTTATTCATAGCCGAGGTGGGAGAGATTTCGATGGATTTATCATTGCAATGCTTGGAAATGGCACAAGACCTACTTAATTTGGAGGTAAGTGGGACTATTTTAAGCAGCAGCCAATAATGATATCCTCACGTAGGATTTGAGGACTGAAAAATACGATAATTCTAACTAATTCGGGATATTATAAATACAATTGTTTTTATTCCACTTGTAATCATAGCCGTATGCCGTTAGAATCAGCTTATTCGGTGTCATAAGCACAGTTATCATCAAACACCTAAGTGGTGAAGAGCTCGACGACGAACAAAAAGCGCTGCGCGACGAATGTTTGGACGATTTATTAACACACATGAATGACATCAGCAGTTATGTGCGATCAAAAGTGTTGCAAATTTGGAATGACTTGAAAAATCGAAATGCAGTGCCGTTAGATTGGATACTTCGGATTGTGACACGAGCCATCGAACGTCTGCACGATAAAACGGCGACCGTACGCAAGAATGCAATCACTTTGCTGCGATCATTTTTGGAATCAAATCCATTTGCATCAAAGGTAAGAAAAGGTTACGAGTGAAAGATCTTTCGAAAAACCAATCCATCAATTGAATCAAACGTTAAAATACAGCTTCATGTGTTCGAACTAGAAATTCGCTCATCACATTTTTTGTCTCTTTATTTTTCAGTTGCAAATGGAAAAGATTCAACAGAAATTGGAGGAGGAGACCAACAAAATGAATCTCATCCAAGAGAAACGAAGGAGACAAGAACGTACCAAACACGATACACAAGCAGATTTTATGCATCGCTGTAAGCCAGAACTGGAACAGATTCTGATGAGTATTCTGAGCGATGAAAAACGAACGGAATCGTTGATTGCAAATGCAAAATTTGACGAGGCCGAACCACAGCAACGAGTTCAGAAAATCCGGCAATTTTTGAACAATGGACAATTCCTCGATGTAGCGCCATACATAATCCAACTAGATGCATTAGTTGGACATTATGAGAAATGGAAGCCGTTACGCGTTGTCGAACAAGTCATCTATTTCGTCATGTTGCTCCAATCGTATTTATTCGATGACTATGTGGGTGAAACGTTAGCTTCTTGTTGACTATTTTTCGTTATTTTTCAAATAAAAACTAAAAATTAATTCTTTAAATTGTTTAGGAAGATAAGCTCAATCAACAAGCGACCATTTTGGGTTTCCTGAAAGATGCATTGACATTTTCAGAGACTGTGGCAAATGCTGTGCCGAAAATCGAAGAAATGTTGATGTCAACCACAATTACAGATGTTCTGGAAGCCATTGAATTCTTCAAAACCGGTTACTTGTTCAACATCAACGGAACGGAGAACGGGATGCGAATGATGCTTCGATTACTCTACACCCACACGGGTCAAGACAAAAACGATAAAGTCGAAGCAGTCTTGAAAGCATATCACAGCATTCTGTTCGGCACAGATGCAACTGGAAGGTATGATTGTAATCTAAAGAGTTTTCTGTATCGAAAAATGATTGTCAATTTTGGCGGCAAAAAATAACCGTGAAACCAACGGTAAGAATCAAACTCTAATTACTTCATTTTGAATTTCAAACAGAACGCATTCGCATAAAGTCGTTGATAACCTGTGCGAATTCTTGCAACACATTTCAACTGGCGAATACACAGCTTTCGGACTCATGATTAAGCACTGGGTACTTTCCGATGATATCAATGTCAACATCGTGAATGTACTTTTCGAACGATTTACGCTGAAACAGCCAGAAACTTCGAGCAATTCGGCCAGATGCTGTATGGAATTACTGATTTTGATCTCAAGGTAAGCTTATTTGAACCCGTGAGCATAAAAACGACTTATTAAACAATCGCCGAACAAAACGATACAAGAAAAAACTACCAAACAAAACACACGTTAAAAACGTAACACAGCAGGACGGTACCGTTCAAAACGAAACTCCGCTGTGCTACACATTACCGCTGTGGTACGTTTTGTTCGGTAGTTTTTTCTTGTATCGTTTTGTTCGGCGATTGTTTAATAAGTCATTTTTATGCTCACGGGTTCATTTCTTCTCTTTAGAACAATTGAATTGTTCATATCCACAGTTTCGTAGGGAAAAAACGCAATCAATTTTAATCAATTAATATTGGTTCAAACGGTAATCATATATTTCTATATTGCGCCAATGCGTATTGATATCTGTTGTTCTACCAAATTGCAACTCAGACTAAATTAAATAGATTTTCGTTGAAGTTTCAGTTCCCACGCAGACTTTTGCGTTGAAGTATACTCGATTTCTTGAGTGTGTACACTGTACACTGAATTAAAGCAACACGTGGATCTTAAATATCTGAATTTATACCAATCTCCTGCGTCCATATAAAAAAAAACCCTCCAAACATCATAATTCTATCATTTCATTTTGTTTCAGTGCCAAGCCAGTTGTTGCTCATAGCAACAAAAAGCTCATCATCGATATAATCAACAGTCGGCGAATTCTCGAAGACCCGCCTATTTTCGCGGGCTGTTTACAATTGCTGATGAACAGCGTTCAGCCAATGGCAGTGGGTGATAAAGCGAATAAATTCATTGGCTATTACAAACGCCTCGATGATGACGACATTTCCGACAGCATAATCAACAATTTCAAACAGTTTTTCTTCTATCCAAAACTGCCCGACTTCGAATCAATTGCATCGCAATCGATCGACTTTTTGTACAAAATGTGCTCGGCTCCGGATCTGTTATGCCAGGAAATCATTCGTGACGTTTGTAAAAAGTTGAATGAAATATCACAGAAGCGCAAGCAGCAGACGTTGGATTCGAATGGCTCGGGATCATCACAAGTGACCGAATTACACATTCCAAAATATTTATTACCGCGGGTAATTTTTATTTTTGGTTACATTGCCACAAAAGAGCTAGTTTATCTACACGATGATGTCTACCAAAACGTCAAATATCGCGAAGAGCTGAGAAAACAGAAGAAAAATGAAAACCAAACAACCTTGGATGGAACAATGGATCGATCACTCAAACGATTGGCATCAGCAAATACATCCGTTGTCGATCCAAATGATCCCGATAGCACATACATGGGCGCCACGGCTGAAGATCATTTGGCTGAAATGATCAACAACATATGTGAAAATCAATTGATTGGATCTGCCGATAGTGTATTGCATCATTTTGTACCAGTTTTGATTGAAATCCTAAGTCAACCAGCAAAATACTCCGAGAATTATGTACAGCGCGCGGCTGTTTTGGCACTAATGCGATTCATGGCGGTTTCGGGTAGACTTTGTGCCGATCGAATTGGATTTTTGATGAATATTTTGCGGAAAAGCACAAGTGCTTCCATGAAATGTAACATCATCATTGGATTGGCTGATTTAACGAGTCGATATCCAAACACAATCGAACCATGGATCCCGAACTTCTTTGTTTTGTTATTCGAAAACGATGATACCGTTCGATTGACTACCTTGAAAATGCTGTCGTACGTGATTTTGCAGGCAATTATTCGAGTTACGGGTCAAGTTTCAGAAATAGCCGTTTGCATCGTCGATGAAAATATCGAAATTCAAATTACAGCAAAGGAATTTTTCCGTCAATTGGTCGGGTGTAAGGAACAGGAATACTACAAAGTGATCCCAGATATCGTATCGCGATTAAGTTCGAATGATTCAGCTATGCTCGAAGACAAATTCCGCGTCGTTATGAAATATTTGTTCGAACTGATCCACAAAGATCGACCAGCTGAAAATCTAGTCGAGAAGCTGTGCAGCCGCTACCGAAACACAAATACCGAACGTCAATGGCGGGATATCAGCTTTTGCTTATCTCTACTCAGTCCGACGGAGAAAACCATGAAGCGGCTCATTGACAATCTGCCAAATTACAAGGATAAAATGCAGTACGATGAGATTTATGATTGCTTCAAAACAATCATTTCAAATGCAAACAAACAAATCATGAAACCAGGTTTAAAGGATTTGGCCAAGGAATTCGAGACAAAACTTGATAAATGCCTTGAGGCGACACAGAACAACGAATCCATCGATGTTTCTCTTTGCATGATTGACACAGAAAATGTTTCATCGGCAAACAAATCAAAGAACAAGACGGTAAACACGCGGAAGAAGGCGGTTAATTCGAGGAAGAATAAACGAGCACCATCCCGTACCTGGAGCTCCGATGAGATGGACGATGAGATGGAAGAAAATATTCCACCACGACGAGGACGCAAACGAAAGTAGAAAGTAAATTTTTGAATTGAATTCAAACGCCATTTTCGACAAAACGTAAATTCACTGACATTTTCAATCTGAAAGTTGAACATTTTCTCTTGGATACGCTAATGAGCGTAGAGCAATCATATATTACATAGATAATATACATTGACCATGATACGAGAAAAAAAATCATGTAAAATCCACTTCATTGACGATAAATAATGATTAAAAATAAAGATTAACCAAAAAGACCAGAAAAAAATATGTTCAATTTTAAATTTCGAACAGCTCAAAAATCTACTACGAAGCTCGGCTAAAAATTCGAAGTGCAGAACATATAAAAGGTTTGTTGGTTCAACTTTCAAAGTTTGTACCGTTGAAGGGTTTCAAACATAGGTTTCATTAAATTCATTCGGTTATAAAAATAAAATTAAACAAATGATGTCGGTGCGATTAAATCGACATAATTTTTTTAATTAAAAATCCAAAATTGATTTTTATTTATTTTTGCAATTGATTTATGCACTTGAAAACCCCATTTTCAATGCGGAATCGCCTTATCTTTTAACGATATCGGTGAATTCAAATTTGAAAGCCTTCAGATGGTCGACATCAGCGCCACGTTTGAGCCAACTGTTTGACAGATGATGCTATATATTGCACCAACCAAACAAAAGTAAGGAATCTTCGAACATTAAAATGCAAGCGCATAGCATTTGAACGAAGCAGCTGATGTTAACGGTTGTTCGAACAGTGAAGCCCATTAAATTTGTGCATTTTGTGAATCAATAAATAGAATTTAGCGTATGAACGTGTAATTCACACCGATTTTCAGTTAGATTTTGGTAGAATTGTTGGGTGTGGATACACAATCATGGAATTTTCATTCAAGCTACCGCGAAACAATAAGGAGCTGCTTGAGGATGAGGATGGTTCAAATTACTTTGTGAAACAAGTTTATAATGCCAACGAAATACCGACGCATCTTCGAGGTAAAACCAAATTTAGTTTAATTCATAAGAAGAACGGTTAACTAAAAACAAATCCTCTGTTGTTCTCTCTATAGCTGCTCATCAAGCACTTCAACAAAGCGATGCTTTCTACATGTTTGACCATTTCGATACATTTTTCTCGGTGATTGAAAATGTACAACAGCTGCAGATCAGTAATCTGGTTCGTGCCGTCGATCTGCTGTATCGTACCACCGAAAGTCTTGGCCAAATGCTTGATACCTATTTGAAACAAGAGCAATTGGATCGACAAAATGATTTTCTCAATCTCATCAAAATGGTCATGTATCCGCTGGTGAGCACCGTTCGAGTGGTTGATGTGTTTGTGAAAAACCATATGACACAGCCCAATACAGCAGGCGGTCGAAAGAATAAGAAAAACACCGATGATTCGTTGCCACATTTCATCAACTATGAAGCGAAACGATACGATATTCTCATTCAAGTTTGTAACATCATGCAGTTGCCGATTGAAAAACTGTGGAACATGTCAATTATTGATCAGGATTTTGTCAAGTGAGTTGATGCCGTGTGCATTGATGTTTGCAGGTATTTTAATTCAATCTCTTCTCAAAAATAGTTTACTGTGTGGATTGGCCTATCGATCACTGACGCATCCATCGACGAAAGAGAAACGGGTCAATGATGCAGTATTTCAAATTCTTGGCACCGCTATCAAACAGTACAGTCATGGTATTGCTTTTCCCGTGCAAATTGTCGAGATAATGGATCGCGAAGAATCGGCTGTTGTGCCCATCGCTCGTGGTGTCCGGTATTTGAACGATGAATTTGGTATCACATCGGTGTTGAGCAATCTGCTGAAGGAACTAATCGACAAAGTGAATGTGAATCCAGCGTCACAGACCACATCGAAGCATTTAAGCATGTTCATCACGGAAATTGGTGAAAATTCACCAGAACTGTCAGTACAATGCTTGGAAATGGCACAAGATCTACTGAATTTGGAGGTAAGCCACATTGAATATTCAACTGTTTGTTTGGAATAAGTTCATTGAAGTTCAAAGTTCACAAGTTAATTGATGTTTAAATGAATGTGTAATCCATTTGCGAAAATTGTATGTTTTTCCATCAGCCATATGCGGTTCGAAACAGTTTATTTGGCGTCATGAATATCGTCATTATAAATCATCTAAGCGGCGAAGATTTAAATGATGAGCAAAAGCAACTCCGTGATGAATGTTTAGAAGATCTATGGAATCATATGAACGACATAAGCAGTTACGTACGATCCAAAGTCCTTCACATTTGGAATGAGTTGAAAACCAGAGATGCTGTCCCATTGGCTTGGATACTTCGTATCGTCAAAAGGGCCATTGAACGTCTTGACGACAAAACGGCGACCGTACGCAAGAATGCAATCACTTTGCTGCGATCATTTTTGGAATCGAATCCATTTTCTGCAAAGGTAAGCATACGCCAAGCACTTTGGTGACGATATATCCCATCACTTATTTCATTTCCATTCACTGTATTCTATTTAATCGGTGACTTTTCCTACCTCACTTGCGACGTGTAGCTCCCACTAGAAGAAGTGGAAGATAAATTGAACCGAGAAACCGAAAAATCTCGCATAATCCGTGAAAAACAAATAGAACAAGAACGAACGCAGCAGGAAGTGATCGCCGACTTCCGAGATCGTTGCGTACCAGCTCTCGAGCCACTGTTGAAGGAAATTTTGGACGAAGAACAGAATCGAATTGATGATGTGCCGACAAATGGTATTGACACCGATGAAACGTCCGAGCAACGTGTGCAAAAAATTCGAGATTTACTTAAGCGCGGCGAATTTGAAACGGTAGCCCGCTATATCTTTGTGTTGGATGAATGCAACAAGGAAACCCGAAATCAATTGCCGATCCAAGAACAAATTTTGTACTTTAGCGTGTTGCTGAATTCATACCTGTTCGATGATTTTGTAAGTGATTTTCGATTTTCGATCGAGAAAACAGTTGAATAAATTAGATTTTTTCTTGTGTTTAGCAAAGCGAACTGGAAAAACAGGATGGCATCATCGGTTTTTTACAAGATGCACTGGAATTTTCAAAAGCAATGGCTGGATCAGTGCCAAAGCTAGAGGAAATGCTGATGTCCAACACCAACTCAGATGTTCTGGAAGCCATTGAATTTTTCAAAACTGGCTATTTGTTCAATATCAAGGGTACAGAGGTTGGAATGAGATTTATGCTTCGATTGCTCTACGTCAATCCTCAGGGTCAGGAGAAAAATGAAAAGGGTGAAGCTGTCATTAAAGCATATCATACGGTTCTGTTTGGTACGGACGCCACTGGAAGGTAAATTGAGGCGTTTTTTTTTACTATAAATCGACGATATTCGTTATGATTACATTTATCTTGACGTTCTAATGCTGTTGATTGTTTCACACAGAGCACATCATCTGAAAGTTGTTGACAATCTGTACAATTTCCTTCAACACATCTCGACTGGAGAGTACACGGCATTCGAATTGATGATCAAGCACTGGGTGCTTTCAGATGAGATCAACATAAATATCATCAATGTAATGTTTGAAAGATTCACACTGAAACTGCCAGAGACTTCGAATAACTATGCCAGATGCTGTATGGAACTGTTGATATTGGTCTCAAAGTAAGTCGTTTTAGTTCATAAGAAAGTATTTGCGAAAAAATGACAAAATTGATGGAAAATTTTGAAAATAATAAAGAAGCAAGTTGAAAAAATGGAGAAAATTGGAAAAGTTCTATTGAATTTGGATTTAGCCAAGTTAGATTTCAAATCAAGTTTAATTTGTGCCACTGTAAACTAATCCGAATTGCATTTTGTTTCAGTGCCAAGCCTGCAGTTGCTCACAACAACAAGAAGCTAATCATCGACATTATAAACAGTCAACGAGTTGTACAGGATCCTCGTATTTTTGCCGGTTGTCTGCAGTTGCTAATGAACAGCATTCAGCCAACGTTGGAAAATGGCGAAAAAACACATAAACTCGGCGCCTACTATAAACGCTTCGACGACAAAGAAGTGGTCATTGACAGTATAATCAGTAGTTTCGAAAAATTCTTCTTCTACCCCAAACTGCCCGACTTCGAACTGATCACATCGCAAACCATCAACTTTTTGTACAAAATGTGTTCGGCTCCGGACTTGTTGTGCCAAGGCATAATTCATGATGTGTGCAAGAAATTGAATGAAATATCACAACGGCGATCCGAGCAAATGATGGATGTTTCAGAGAATGGTGTCGAATCATCACAAGTGACCGAAATGTACATTCCAAATTACTTGTTGCCACGTATCATATTCATTTTTGGTTACATTGCGGAAAAAGAGTTGGTCTATTTGGACAATGATATCTATTTGAATATAAAATATCGCGAGGAATTAAAGAAGGAAAAAAACGAGCAACGAAATACGCCCAACAAGAGAAAAACCATGAACTTGAATGCATCGGCCAGTGAGAGTCTAAAACGATTGTCCACCGTAAATACATCGAACGAACCACAAGAGCAAGATGAAGCGTATATGGGTGCAACGGCTGAAGATACACTGGCTGAAATTATCAATAATATTTGTGAAAATCAGTTGATTGGATCGGCCGATTGTTTACTTTATCATTTCCTTCCAATTTTAATCGAAATCCTAAGCCAACCTGCTAAATATCCAAATGCATACGTTCAACGTGCTTCCGTTCTTACTTTGATGCGATTCATGGTTGTGTCAGCCAATCTGTGTGCCGAACGAATCGCATTCCTGATGAATATCCTGAAGAAAACCAGAGACGCATCGATGAAGTGCAACATAGTTGTCGGTTTGGCTGATTTGACGGGCCGATTTGCAAACACAATCGAACCATGGATTCCAAATTTCTATACAACGCTACTCGAAACCGACGACACCGTACGATTGACTACATTGAAAATGTTGTCGTATGTGATTTTGCAGGGAATCATTCGAGTGACGGGTCAAATTGCCGATATAGCCACTTGCATTGTTGACGATAATGCGGAAATTCAATGCGCCGCCAAGGAATTCTTCCGGCGATTGGTCGAAAGTAAAGATCAAGAGTATTATAAAATCATGCCCGATATTGTGTCACGGTTGAGTCCAAACGATTTACCGCTTGCTGAAGATAAATTCCGTGCCTCCATGAAATACTTGCTGGAACTGATCCAAAAGGATCGACAAGTGGAGAGTCTGGTGGAGAAACTGTGTGGACGATTCCGAAATACAAACACCGAACGTCAATGGCGTGACATTGCCTATTGTTTATCACTGTTGAATCATTCAGAGAAAACAATGCGAAAACTCATCGATCACCTACCAAACTATAGAGATAAGGTTCAATACGATGAAATCTATGACTGCTTCAAGACCATCATTTCGAATGCCAACAAGCAGATTTCGAAACCAGAACTGAAAAATCTAGCTAAAGATCTAGATACCAAATTGACCGCATGCCTGCAAGTGAATGAAAATGGCAATGTAACCGTCGCTAACGGTGAGGTTAATGGTGGACAGGATGGTGATGATGTTCCAATGCCATCGGCCAGTCAACCTACTAAAAAAGATAAGAAGAAGGCTACGACAAAAGCGGCTAAACAAAAGAATAAAATAAATCGTTTTGCTCGCGCCGCCTTGAGCTCAGACGATGACGATGAAGATGATGATTTTGCGGAAAATTCACCACCACCAAAAGGTAAAGGCAGAGGCAAAAATCAAGCCGTCGCTTTGGATTCATCAACAGCATCGACTCGCAGTGTACGTGGTGGAAGAGGGCGAGCACAAGCAGCCAGTCAAAGTAGCGAAGACAGCGACGATGAACCACCAGCACAAACTCCAAAAGGACGACGGGGTCGAAGATAAACGCATTTTTCTACACAGCACATTTCACTCAGATTGTTTAATGTTTACATTTAATGGAAGTGTTTGTTTGATCATTTTCTCATCAGAAAGTACAATAAGCGGAATAGCATGAAATAAATTAAGTTTTGAATAAGAAAAAGTGAGGCGTTTAGTTTCATCTGTCTTGGATTTCAGGAATTAAGTCATATTTGGCATAATTACGACTTGACTGATCAGGGTAAGCTAGAACTTCAGTAAGTATCTTTGCTTGTGTTTCTCTGTACCTCTAATATGTAGAAGAACGAGCGGGAATAAGTGCCACATAAATCATGAAATAAAAACGCAAAATTGTGAATCACAAAAAAATGTATCAATATTTTGTTTTTGTTTCGTTTTTATTTTTCATATTCATTTCATTCAATACAAAATGTAAAACTGTGTAGTTTTCTTGTCCTGAAATAATTAATACTCTGTATAAAAACGTATATGTTTCATTGTTCATGTGGTTGTTTTCTTTTTCTTCTCAAGTTTGTGTTTACAAATGTATAAAAAAAAACAAAGCATAATTTTATTTTTATTTCATTTTTTTTATTATTTTTTTCTTCATATCTGTCTAGACTAAAAAAATATACAAAATCCAACTCATTACCAGTCTTAGCCATTTCGATTCCCATTATTTCTGTATTCATTCTCCTTTCGCACCATGCTTTTACTTGCTACAAATTCAAATTTTTTTGCTTAATTTACGATTTTTTTTGAAACTTTTTTTGTGAGTTTTTTTTATCTTTCTTTTGTTTGTTTATTAAGAATGCACAATCAATATATATGAGGGTGGTTAAATACAACAGCATTGAAGCTGAAGAAAAGAATATTAGTGTTTATGTTTTCATAATTTTTTTCTCTCAAATTTTCACAATTTTTTTTTTCTTCTTGTTATTCCAATACGCATTAACATATACAAAAATGTTTAATTACAAAGATTATTTTAATTCATAGTTTAATTGTGTGTGTGTGTGTGTGTTTTTGTTTATATCAAAAGAAATGAAAATAAAGGAAATTGCGATCAAGGTCGCTATAATAATACATATAACATTATATTGGATGCTAATGTGTGTTTTTGTTTTGTTTCAGTTAAGTTGTTGTTTTTTGTTTGTACTATTTTCTGAAAATGAAATGGTTATGTGGATGTGAGCAAAATAATGATGAACATAAAAAAGTAAAATTGAGTTGCTGCAATTGTCCGTCTGTAGTGTTTATTTATACAATGAGACAGATGCGACGGCAAATACCCGAAAAGTGTCTTCATCTCACTTTTTGATTCACTTTTTCGATTCTGCAGTTAAATATAGAAATCATGAAGCTAGTTACTATTATCCGAATAAAATACTGTATCGGCAAAGAACTGTCTGTTGACTTTCTACTGATGAAAACTCAATTTTTTGTGTCTGAGGTATTTGTTTTTTTCTTCTCTCTCGTTTCATTTTGTATTTTAATATTATAAAATGTCTTAAATGTTCGTTTCATGCGATTATTCTACGATTAATAAAAAGAAAAATTGATCCGAATCTCTTTTCTAAATCGAAGTCAACATATTTGTTTGTCTACTTAATTTGCATTATCATTTGTGGCAAACACAATGTTCCTGATTACGATGGAAGTGGACTGGTTTAGCATGGTTCAACAATTTTTTTTTTTTGCATTTCTAAACGCTTCTACTTCTCCTATTTCTTTCGCTCTATATGTTTTGACGATGTGTTCAGTTAGTAGTGATTATTTATTATTATTCATAAAAAAGAACGGCGTATGACTAGTTTTAATAATATAATAAACTTTTATTTATTTTTGACGTTATGCTTGCCATCTAAATCCATATAAAACATGTTTAAAGTTAATTCTAAGTGTTTTTTTTGAGTAGGTGATTTTTTTATTTAGTAGGTAAACCCATGTATAATTTGTGTTGTGATTTTTCATGGATTTAAAAATTTGGTTTTTTTTTCATTTGTTTTTTTTTTTCACCAAAATTGCTCGAGATCGAAAATTTTGTTCATATGTGTTAGTTATTTTTTTCATTCATCTTTTCTATTTTCGTTTGTCGAATTGATTAGGTAAAAACTACGTTTTCAAATTGGTTTAATTGAAGCTATATATTATTATTCTCGAATGAAAATGTGTCTAATTTCGATGAAAGTGTCTGTGACTCTGAATGTGAGAGACGACAACGGTGAAATTTCTTCTTTTTCTTTAAAAATTGGGTTACATATATCGAGACTAAAAGTTTTCCTATGTCAACCGAATTGATTTTCTTTGTATCTCTATAAATGCTATTGGATTGATATTTTCATCTTAATTTAACTCGGTACATTCAAATTGTGATGCCCTACTATTTTGTTTTAGTGGAGGTTTTATTGTGCCATCGTATTCTGAGTTTGCTGGCAGTAGCTTGTGACCATTTTATGGTTGAAAATGTAAAAAAAATTGTATTTATTAAGCAAGAGTCTGAAGTTTTGAAGTGAACATTGCGATTACAAACCAAAATAAGGAGGGAAAAAAGTTGCCACTCAACAAATGTGACATCATTTTTCATGCATCTATTTCAAAACTTCAAAGTCTTGACCGTTTCAAAAAAAAAAAAAGATTTGCCTATTTTTTTCGATGAATGAATTGTTTCGTTTCAAAACTATTTTTCTCACAGATTTTCCTTTTTCTAATTTTTTTTTATTATTTGAATATATATATATCTTCTTGATCGAAGGAAAGGGATACAATGTGTTTGTTTTTCTTTAATAAAAAAAGAAAATGAACTTATTTCAATTGAAGGGTTATTGGTGATTTTTTTCTTTATCAAAGTGAACTTTACACAAAACAGATATTTAAGGTTATTTCACTTTAACGTACAAAAAATACTATACTTTATTTTTATGACAAAATAGAAAGTGTGTGTTTTGCATTAACATCTAATTCTTTTTTTTTCTTCATCATCATCATCTCCATTAGTTTTTGTTGTTGTTTCCATTTGAATTATTCATTATGCGCCAAGATGAAATGTTGCGCTTGCGAATTTCAATTCAATTCTTATCATTTCATCATTGTTTACGCGTGTCTCTTTAGCTCGTAACAAAATGATTTCAATTTACACAAAAAAAAAAAAAATGATTTCAAAAAAACTAAATGCATTTACAGAAATGAAACTAAGTCGTACGAGAACATATATTCTAAATTCTTAATAATTAGTAGAAAATTTAATTATTTTGCGAATAATTCTTCTTCTTTTTTTTCTTTTGTAAGGAAATGAAAATTGAAAAAAAAATAAAATCAATTATGAAAAAAAATTGCAAACTAAACCTAAATCATAGGAAAAAAAATATTTGAATTTGAACTGTATTTCATATTGTGGTTCGTGTGGGGTGTTATAGAATGAAATCATAAAAACACATGATTTTTACAGAATTTCACCGAAAAGAACGGTCTCGCCGCAGTCGCATCGAATTCTTCATGTGTCGATATGGCTGGCGCTGCGAGACCAAAATCACAACAAATCTTAAATTAAGTAGAATCAAATTAATTAGTTTTTTGTTTGTTTTTGTGTGTGTGTTTTTTACAAATGCGTTTCAATGCAGTATTTTTCCACTGAGATGCTCAAAAAAAAAATTTACGCAGTTCGGTTGACCAACATGACTTTTCGTCGATTCTGCTGTTGTTGCAATAGTTGATGTTGCACATGGCCAGCAAACGATGTCTTCTGAATGATTTGGGCAGTGCCATTATTTGAAATGCTGAATGTTCGTGCTGGTGCAATGGAACAGTTGATGTCCAGACGAGCCCGTTTTGCGGCTGGCTGCACTTCGCTTTCGAAGAATTCAGTTTGACCATTCTCGGTATTCAATGCAAATTGAATCGATTTCGAGTCTTCAATGTCAACCTCATCAAACATATCGGAGACCTAATCGCAAATGGGAACAAGAAAAAAACCAAAAACAGGTTATTAATTTGAATGAAACCGACAGAAAACAACAATGGTTGTTCATGGTGAGAATCAGATAAAAATTTCAAAAGGAGAATTTGGTTACTTACATCAAGATCGTATTCGTTTTCGATTTGACTGTTTTCTTCGTCGCATGAGTCGACGTCAGGTACAATGCCGTTAACAATGGAGTCTTCCAATTCATTTTCTGGTTCTGAATCTTCAGTATCATCTGGTTCGACGTCACTATCGTTCAAGCTGCCGTGCTTCATTTCACCACGTTCCAATGCTGGCAAATTTTCGGGAATAACCATAGCTTTGCGAATGGCCATCGGGTCTTTGCGCGACCATTTCTGAACTTCTTCGTCCATTTTTGCGATTTTCGATGGATTCATTGCCCACAAGCAACCTTTACGTTGTCCACCATTGGTGGCTGGTTTTTCAATCTTTTCAAAGCATTTGTTCAGCGATAAATTGTGTCGAACGCTGTTTTTCCAGCCGTTTGGTGCCGTTTTAAAGTATGGGAAATGCTCGCACATAAAACTATAGATCTCCGACACAGGCAATGAGCCAGCCCGTGAATTTTTCAATGCCATGGCAATCAAACAGGAGTACGAGTAAGCTGGTTTTGGGAATTCAGGTCCAGCAATTTTCAATTTAAGTGGCTGTGGCTTAAGTGCCGTTCCATTTGCAATGGCATGCTGTTGCATCGATGACAATGTGGTCGTATTGACCGATGATGTAAGCCCATTGGATGTTGTGGCTATCAGTGTGCCTTTGCCATTTTGCACAACAAATTTAAATCCTTCGGATGTGACCTTCGGCGAATCATCGATGATTTTCCGGTGGAAATGATTACTGTCATTGTTATTGTTGTTAATGATCGTAATGTTGTTGTTGATATTTTGCGACGGACTAGACGATCGAATGTGCTGGTTTTTGAGCTGTTGAGCAGTTGTAATCACATTGCCATTGCTGGTGACAATTTTCGTATTGCTGTTATTTTTCAGCTTGGCAAATGCAAGGCTATTGGCAAATGTCAAACCACCGATGCCCGGTGCCAATTTAATAGTATTGGTCGGTGTTGATGACGGGGTCATCGATGTAATTGTCGGTTTGAATTGCGTAAAAATTTTCTCATCCTTCATGATTTCACTGCTGAGATCCTTTTTAATAGCCTCGACATTGGTGCGTTGAGCCTGACACAATAGCGATTGCTTCTTCGATTCCTGCACCACCGGCACTTTAATGATGTTCGGCGAGAATGTCAAATGGCTCTTTTTCTCCTTCGGACTAGGCAGTGGAGAGCTGCTTGGCTTGAACGTGTTCGTATTGAGATCCAATTGTGATTTCGGTGAATTAAGCACATCCGATGTCAGTGTTCGTGATGTTAAACCAGCATTTATGTTATTTATGGCGGGCATCACGGAATTTGGATTTACACAGGCGCCAACATCAGCATACATATCATGTGACGATGATGTCGATGACCATTTTGGTCCGCCCAACCATGGCGTTTCACCATCATTTGATGTTTCAAAATCGAGCGTCGGCAATTCGCTCATCAACGACGAAAATTCACTGGCACCACCAACCACTGTTGCTACTTCCGTACGAATATCAATGTCGAGCATATCCTGCATCGAATCCGATATGTAAAGATCCAAAATGGGACATGATGCGTCCTGTATAGAGAAAAAAGAGAGAAAAAATAAAGAATTTTCATTAAAATTCCATGGAAAAAATATTTGTTCTTCAGTCATTTTATTTATCATAATAATTCTACAAATAGCCATAAAATACTTTGTATAGCGCAACATATTTGTGGGCTAATTTAGGTTCATGCCCGAAGGGTTCAAAGCAGCAAAAAAGAGGTTTTTTAGTTAATAAAAAATGTAACATGTGCGTATCATTTATTCATTTATTTGTTTCCTTTCCGTTTTTTTTTGTGTGTGTATGTTCCTGTTCACCGCATTAATTTCCCATTGAAAGTGGGACCACAAAATATTGCACATGTTCGAGTTATATTTGCGAGTTTAAAACAATGGCAATCAATGGCAATGCCAAAATCAATAAAAACGAAAATCAGACGAGGGATAGCCAGACGAAATCGATAACAGTCAAAAATTAACATTCGAAACCGACGTGTTTACCATGCAGTTCACGTATGTTCAATTCAAACATGATTTCCCCTTTCACACACCAAAAAATTATCGCCAATAGACAATAAACATGTATTTACCGGGCCAAACCCTCTTGTTGTTCAAATCAATTTCCATCGGAACAAAAATGTATATTACGTCGACATTGAACATATTATTTCTAGGAATGCCAAAGTTAAAAGTTATTACAACGGAATAAAATAACAACGACCTGAAATTACTTTTAAAATACTCGTTAAAACAGCAACAATCAGTCTGGACATAATATAACAGACAGAATCCTTAGAAATTGCACAAAAAAGAGTGTTCAAAACATATTATTAGCATGTGATTTGCAACGCCATAACGAACCATAACTGTTAAGGCACATGTAGTGCGAACATATTCAGAGTTTTTTTTAAAGCACATTGCTATAAGAATGAGTACTTTATCGAATGGTTTTTTAATCCCGCCAAAAAAGGCTCTTTGTTTTATTCGTTCGTTCGGTCTTGCTCTTCTTTTACTCTCTCTCTCTCTCTCTCTCTCTTTCTGTGTGTGTATATGTGTATTCATAAATGAAATGTGAGACTGCACATGGTCCGTCCGATTGCATGTCTATCCGTTCCAGTTAAGATGATAAGCACATTTCATGCTGGTAGTAAAATGTTTCCTTCGTACGTTTTTTTTTTCTTATTTCGTTTCATTTCATTTCTCTTTTCTTCTTTCTTCGCCAACGAAAATAAAAAGTGAACCCGGCAATGTTCGCTCGTTTTTCGGTTCGTGGATGAGTTATGAGCATTCATTTCGAGCGAAAAGTTAAAAGAAGAAAAAAATTCGGTACGAAAGAGAAAACGATGATGACGATGTGAAGAAGGAGTGCATGAGTTGGATACATTTTTCGTGAAGAGTCTCAAAATGGGGAAAAAAATGTGCAAGAGAGAGAGAGTAAGGATCTGAGCCATTTCAAAAATAAATTGTTCCTTTGTCACACACGCATACACACACTTACTCTCTCTTTCTCTATTAGCTCTTAGCATTCATCCAAACCCCATGTATACAGATGGCTGCGAGAGAACCGTAGTTGAGAGAATCCGAATACCCGGTGTTTTTATTACTTATATACATTGTTTTATGTACGTGTGTATGTATAACACACGGAGAGACGGCAATGTACATATTCATTTCTCTAACCAGTCACACGGACGAACGACAGGCCGACCGTTCACTCCGAGTGTGTGCTTATGTACGTATGTGTGTGAGTGTGAGAGAATCGAAATATCCAAAATGAGGTACAGTCGCGCCAAAATCCACTAAAATACGGTGTGTACAAATAGCGCACTCTTTCGTCAATCGGTCGTAGCACGTAGTTTTTCGTATATTTGGCAGCCGCCTGATGTATGAGCGACTGACATATGACTTGCTGTTGAATTCGATGGTTTAAATTAATGAAATGAATTGTTTGAGTGGACGGCTCTTAAAAAATGAACAAACAGAAGAACGAAAAAAATCATCCGAAGGATGTGGTTCGTTCTGTATGTGCCGTTGTTGATTATTATTGAAATTATGTACATTTCGGTGTGGAAAGTTTTCGTTTCCCTTCTTCGTCAGCGTTCGAAATGAGTATAATTTGGCTCATTTCCCGTAACGACACATCCATCCAAAAACACAGAAAAAAACCGTGTTCTTCTGGTGGAATGAGTTGTGCGACCACGAAGATTGATTTTGGCCGATGCATTCATTAACACCGCCGTCGTTTCAAACAAAGCAGAACGAGAGAAAAAAGAACAACACCGAGAAGTGAGTGAGAGAGAGAGAGAGAGAGAGAGAGGGAAATAAGAAGAAGAGAAGAAAATCAAATCTCATTCGATGGTCATTTCTTTTGTTTGGCCTTCTTATTTGTCTGAACACATCAACAGTGCATCGTCGGTATAATATAACATTACGTGATTGGTATTTAGGTATTTTATTTTGATTACATCACATATAAGAATAACAGACAAAACAGCAGCAATTTCAAATACGAAATCAGAATTATTTTTCGTTGCTTTTTTTTCTCTTTATTTTCGTTGATGTTTTTATGATGGCAAACGGGCCGTGCACGCGCTTGATTCAACAATAAGAATTCTTCGGCTCGTTGCCACAAAGTGGAGACTGGTCGGTTATTTGCAGTTGATTGAGCACGTTGTTTTGAACTGCCTTTTTTTACGTACATCGCTCCTTGCTTCTTTTATTATTTATATATATTTTTTCATCATCCACCGAAAAAAATAAAAACTTGCAACTCTTTTGTTGCCGCACTGATACTTTCCCGCTTGGAAATTTAATACATGTGTGGCGGTGCATTTAAGGAGTAACAATTTAAAGGTACACACACAGTTTCTTTTGCCGCAATGATGCTATGCGATGTGATGGCTTCTCTAACTCTCTCTCTCTCTCTCTCTCTCTCTCTCTCTCTCCCTCTCTTTCTTTTTCATTATCGTTAGCCAAAAATAATCGCGTGGCACTTTGTTGCAAAAGGTGTTTTACGCCAATACGTTTTAGAAAACAGCATTTGCTGTTATTGTTGCGCCACAAAAATAAAATGAAGAAGGAAAAAAAAGGTAATGATAACGGTGAAAGCATGTGATAATGCACGTTTCAAGAAGGAAAACCAAAATAGCATTTTAATAGCCATTTCACAGAACATAAGAAGAAGACGGGGGGAAAAGAGACTAAACAGCCATTGATCGTACCAAAAGGTGTAGTACGATGGCGGTTGATGGGTATATTGTTTCATTGTTGCCATCGTTAATTTGGCTGAATGTCTTACGGCTGTTTCGAGTTCGGCTGTTTTTGGCTTGGAAATTGGATTTCATTGTTGAGAGAGTAGTTGCCGTTCAAAGAGGTAATTTATTTTAGCATCGAGCACACTATTCCACACAGAGATAATCACATAAGATTTTAGCAATTATCGTTTAGCGTTGGATTTGGATTGACAAAGGTGCACTTCAAAACAGTTCAGACTGTCCGAGCAAGCAGCACCACAGCGAGCGAACGAGCAACAGAGAGAACGAACGATACGTAATTTGCGTCTTTCGTCGACAATTTTAATGCTTGAGCACCTTCGCAACACACCGTACAGACGTGCTATCATTCGACAAGAACAATACAAGTCAAAAATTGAAATAGGAGAAACATGTAAATACAATTAAATTAGACAATCAGGATTTTTGACAGTTAGAATCGGTGTATGTGATTGAATTTGAGCTTTCAACAACAGTGAACATTTTCAGTTTTTGCACGTAATTCTCAATTGTCACTTTCAAAGGCAAGAAAAAACCCACGAAAGGCAAGAAAAACAAACTCAGAAGAAAAAATTCGTCTCTTTGGCGGCATTTCATTTCAGGACTCTGAGTGTGTTCTTGCTACATGCTGAATTGTTGTTATGTGTTTCGTCAAACGTCGGAAGAGATGCACGTAGACTGCGCCACAGCTGAGATGGCAAAATAAATACGACAAAAACACAAGACAAATGGATACAGTCGTTCGCGCGCGGGAATGAACAATTTTCTTCTTTTTTTTTCACTTCGGTTCTGTACGTGAAATGAGAGTCTCTTTCTCCCGCTGTACATATTCGTCGGTGGTGTGAACGTTTGTTTAGTGATTCCAATCCAATTTTCTTATTCGATGTAACACACCAGACATTGGAATCGTATGGTCCCACATACTACCGTATGCATCGCATAGATTGTGAAGAAGCGTGTGGTTGTTTGTTTGCGATCCGAACAAGCGAACGAGCTCCTTTTTTCTATGGGAAATCTTCAATCAAAAACACGCAGACAGATTTTATGGGTTTTTCTCATTCTACCCATTCCAAGCAGAATAATGTCGCGCACGGACAAAAGCGCATTCATCATCATTTGTGAACCTTCGCCTTTTTGGCAGCGGCATCTCGCCAACAGAAACAACAAACAGTCGCAGCAGCAGCAGCAGCAGCATCGCAACTGTAAGCGTTTCTGATATCCTATCAATATTTTGTTGTGATGCATTCATTCGAATCGTTTCTTGTGTTGTTTCGATCCGTTGACTCGTTGACAGGACGAATTGGAAGCGATTCAAAACATGAAAATTAAAACAAAACAACAGCAGTGACATTAAATGGAATGAGCGAAAAACATTCGGAATTGAAAGAAGGCAAGAGCAAATAAATTGATTCGAGTCGTTAGATCAAGCATCAACCCCAGTCAGAAAATAATGCGATAAAAAACACATACATGCACAACATTGACACTCAAAATGTCTGTATGTCCTGATGTGTTTGCGTTTGTGTGTGTGCCTTTTGAATATTTTCCAATTCTCATTTCACTAATTTTCGACAGGCACTGTCGTCATCGTCGTCGGTCGCTGCATAGTCGCCGAAATAAAAGCGATACAAACCGCCAGTCGCTCATTCTCTCTTTCTCTCTCTCTGATAGAAAAGCGAATGGCATTTTATTGAATCGCTCGCTCGAAGCCGACTGAATGTTCATTGCGCATGCACGTCAACTTAGGGTGGATACCCTCAT